GCAGGAGCCACGGTGCTGGGCAGGGGCCGCTGTCACTCTGTCCCCTAATCTCTCATGCTCCCGTTGTCTCCCTGCCAGACTGCCCGGTTCTGCAGCAGCTGGGGTGCTGTGCGCTGAGTCTGTCCTCGGAGCCCAGCTCCTGGACTGATAAGCACGCGTTCCTGGCGCAGGTGGGCTCCAGCCCCGCCTGGCTCTGAGCTCGCGGCTGGCGCCCCTGGCTGGTGAAGCTCCATGTGCGGATGGCGCTGGTATGGAGGCCGTGGCTCCTCTGTGTCCCCCTCTGTCCTTGTGCCGTTTACTGCTCAGGGCCAGGGCAATGGGCTTGGGGACACGGGACTGAGGGGGTGCTCCCCCTCCCCCGCCAGAGCCCTGGGGAGGCGCAGTGCACTTGGACAGTGTTTCTTTGCCCCAGGCGCTTTTCTTGGTGGTGACGGATCAGGCCTCCCCGCCGGGGCTGTCAGGGCCACAGTCCAGGCGGGGCTCTCTCAACAAATCGGGAGTCTGAGCAGCGCTGGCTTAGCTCTTTGACCTCGCCCACCCAGTCTCCTCACTTGGACGGCGACTCCCTCCGGCTCCTCCCGGTCTTCCTCGAACGCTCTCCCGCCCAGCTTGTCCCTCATGAATTGCACAACATTCATTTTTATTGTGTGCGTGGGCATCCCAGGGAGGGGCCGGGTGTCTGTCCAGGCAAAGAGACCGCAAGTACCAAGGCCCTGAGGTCGCAGTGTGACTGCCGGGGACGAAAGACAGAAAGGGTGCCAGCAGGGCTGGGCTGAGGAGAGAGGGGACAGGGGGAAAGGAGGCCGTGGAGGTGATGGGGTTCCAGACCCTGCCGAGGCCTTCCGCTTCACTGAGTGAGACAGGAGGATGCACCTTGACTGACAGGGACAGAAGCAGGGAGCTCTGAGGAGCCACTTTGGTGCCCAGGCGAGTGATGGGTCTGGGGCCAGGTGGTGGCCGTGGAGGGGCGGGAAGTGGTCAATCGGGAGCCAACTTTGTTTTTTTTTTTTTTTTTTTTTTTTTTTTTTTTTTTT